GACGGTACTTATTGTCTGAAACATCGTTGTAGAGGTTACGGGCGTAATGTTTACACATGCTTGTTCTGGAGGGACGTGTGTCTTACAGTTTAAAGAGAAGACGCTGTAAACCTGTTAACACACTACCTCTATTGTTTGTCACCAATGTTCAAGTCATCACCTGTCCTGGAACAGAACCTGTGCGTGCTCAGGTATTCATTAGCACGTATATACACATTTTTTCATAAAAATGAAGCCTCAATATTTCTACTTCTCTGCGAGTGTTTAAAACAATAACTGACCTTGACCTTGAGGTCCAAGTTAGCCTGACATTCAGTAAGTGTATTGTACACTTAAAAAATGGACTTGCTGTCTAACATGAACCTCACGGAAAGGCGAGTAACTATTTCGTCTCTTCCCCTAGACTGGCGCTGAGTCTCTAAATATACATGTATAATGTTGATAGAACAAGCACAACATTTCAAACAGAAACATCTAGACCCTGAAATGAACATATTTCACAAAAGAAACGGTTCCCATAAATGATAACAATAAGGAACCCAGAGAATTTCATCATTTACTGAAACTGCCGTAATCTGGACATGCCACGTATTAAAGACTTGCATAGGATTTCTTCTTGGATACATTTCTTTCAGGGTCTGTAAGACGGACTAGCTTCATTTAGGTCTCGAACATTACGATAGGGCAGGGCAGAAGTGAAAATAATACAATTCAGAGACTGTGAGAAAACTATGAGCAGCAACTATTTCGTGTTTCCTCCACGCATTTCTAAAGAGACTGAGGTCAAGATTATATCACTTACAAGGGCATGCGGAAACATAAGGAGATAGGTATGTCTGCTGAAGACGCCTCATAAACTTTAAGTACATAATGTTAGCGAGAATGTCGACTTTTTATGCGTGTTTGTCATCGACAACGGGACCACGGTAGTAAACACAATCCCGTCACCATCCACACTGAGGGAATATTTGGCGCCATAATAGGCAGACAAACATGGACTGTACTCTCAGATAACAATTACTGGTTGTCACAAGACTGTATAGGTAGTGGAATATAAGACTTATAGGACACCATTAGACCAACACTGGGTAGTGGAATATAAGACTTATAGGACACCATTAGACCAACACTGGGTAGTGGAATATAAGACTTATAGGACACCATTAGACCAACACGGTGGGTAGTGGAATATAGGACTTATAGGACACCATTAGACCAACACGGTGGGTAGTGGAATATAGGTCTTATAGGACACCATTAGACCAACACGGTGGGTAGTGGAATATAAGACTTATAGGACACCATTAGACCAACACGGTGGGTAGTGGAATATAAGACTTATAGGACACCGTTAGACCAACACGGTGGGTAGTGGAATATAGTGGACATATATAGGACTTATAGGACACCATTAGACCAACACGGTGGGTAGTGGAATATAAGGACGCCATTAGACCAACACGGTGGAGTAGTGGAATATAGGACTTATAGGACACCATTAGACCAACACGGTGGGTAGTGGAATATAAGACTTATAGGACACCATTAGACCAACACGGTGGGTAGTGGAATATAAGACTTATAGGACACCATTAGACCAACACGGTGGGTAGTGGAATATAGGACTTATAGGACACCATTAGACCAACACGGTGGGTAGTGGAATATAGGACTTATAGGACACCATTAGACCAACACGGTGGGTAGTGGAATATAGGACTTATATTACACCATTAGACCAACACGGTGGGTAGTGGAATATAGGACTTATAGGACACCATTAGACCAACACGGTGGGTAGTGGAATATAGGACTTATAGGACACCATTAGACCAACACGGTGGGTAGTGGAATATAAGACTTATAGGACACCATTAGACCAACACGGTGGGTAGTGGAATATAGGACTTATAGGACACCATTAGACCAACACGGTGGGTAGTGGAATATAGGACTTATAGGACACCATTAGACCAACACGGTGGGTAGTGGAATATAGGACTTATAGGACACCATTAGACCAACACGGTGGGTAGTGGAATATAGGACTTATAGGACACCATTAGACCAACACGGTGGGTAGTGGAATATAAGACTTATAGGACACCATTAGACCAACACGGTGGGTAGTGGAATATAGGACTTATAGGACACCATTAGACCAACACGGTGGGTAGTGGAATATAGGACTTATAGGACACCATTAGACCAATACGGTGGGTAGTGGAATATAGGACTTATAGGACACCATTAGACCAACACGGTGGGTAGTGGAATATAGGACTTATAGGACACCATTAGACCAACACGGTGGGTAGTGGAATATAGGACTTGAAGGACACCATTATATCAATACGGTGGGTAGTGGAATATAGGACTTATAGGACACCATTAGACCAACACGGTGGGTAGTGGAATATAGGACTTAAAGGACACCATTAGATCAATACGATGGGTAGTGGAATATAGGATTTACAGGACACCATTAGACCAACACGGTGAGTAGTGGAATATAGGACTTATAGGACGCCATTTGACCAACACGGTGGGTAGTGGAATATAGTACTTAAAGGACATCATTAGACCAACACTGGGTAGTGGTATAAAATGACTTAAGGACACCATTAGACCAACACGGTGGGTAGTGGAATATAGGACTTAAAGGACATCATTAGACCAACACTGGGTAGTGGAATATAAGACTTATAGGACACCACTAGGCCAACACGGTGGGTAGTGGAATATAGGACTTATAGGACACCATTAGACCAACACGGTGGGTAGTGGAATATAGGACTTAAAGGACATCATTAGACCAACACCAGGGGCGGATACAGCTTTTTGAGAAAGTGGGGGGGTGCACACTATTGAGAAAAGGAGAGGTGCACACTTCATTTTCACCTGAGTTTCAATGGTCATTTAACAAACTTTCAGCACAAGGGGTGTGTGTGTGTGTGTGTGTGTGTGTGTGTGTGTGTGTGTGTGTGTGTGTGGTGGTGTTGGTGTTCTCTTTTTTTTCTCCCTGCAAATCCCCCTCCCTCCCTCTCTGGATCCGCCTATGCAACACGGTGGGTAGTGGAATATAAGATTAATTAGCATTTGCTTGTTTGTTGTTTAACGACGCACACATAAATAATCCAGTTGTAGGGCGGCGGTCTGTATATAATCGAACCTCGACCAGACAATCCAGTGATCAATCGATCAACGCAATTCGGATGTAAAACTAAAGACATCATTAGACAAACACGGTGGGTAGTGGAATATAGGGCTTTTAGGACACCATTAGATCAATACGGTGGGTAGTGGAATATAGGTCTTAAAGGACACCATTAGACCAACACGGTGGGTAAGGGAATATAAGACTTATAGGACACCATTAGACCAACACGGTGGGTAGTGGAATATAAGAATTATAGGACACCATTAGACCAACACTGGGTAGTGGAATATAAGACTTATATGACACCACTAGACCAACACGGTGGGTAGTGGAATATAAGACCTATAGGACGCCATTAGACCAACACGGTTAGTAGTGGAATATAAGACTTACAGGGCACCATTAGACCAACACGGTGGGTAGTGGAATACAGGACTTAAAGGACACCATTAGATCAATACGGTGGGTAGTGGAATACAGGACTTAAAGGACACCATTAGATCAATACGGTGGGTAGTGGAATAAGGACTTATAGGACACCATTAGACCAATACGGTGGGTAGTGGAATATAGGACTTAAAGGACACCATTAGATCAATACGGTGGGTAGTGGAATATAGGACTTATAGGACACCATTAGACCAACACTGGGTAGTGGAATATAAGACATATAGGACACCATTAGACCAACACGGTGGGTGATGGAATATAAGAATTAAAGGACACCATTAGACCAACACTTGGTAGTGGAATATAGGACCTAAAGGACATCATTAGACCAACACCAGGGGCGGATACAGGTTTTTTAGAAAGGGGGCCGGGGGGTGCACACTATTGAGAAAAGGAGGGGTGCACACTTCATTTTCACCTGAGTTTCAATGGTCATTTAACAAACTTTCAGCACAAGGGGGGGGGGGGGGACTCCCCTGCAAACACACACCCCACCCCACTCTGGATCCGCCTATGCAACACGGTGGGTAGTGGAATATAAGACTAATTAGCATTTGCTTGTTTGTTGTTTAACGACGCACACAGAAATAATCCAGTTGTAGGGCGGCGGTCTGTATATAATCGAACCTCGACCAGACAATCCAGTGATCAATCGATCAACGCAATTCGGATGTAAAACTAAAAGACATCATTAGACAAATACGGTGGGTAGTGGAATATAGGGCTTTTAGGACACCATTAGACAAACACGGTGGGTCGTGTAATATAAGACTAGAAGATTAAAATTAAACAACCAGGGTAGGTAGTGAAATATGCAAGCCTGGTGAGTATGCACTAATCCACCCGACAAACAGCTCCATAAATCGCGATAACATTCCTTCCCCGAAATGTTCAAACCCTCCCTGTGTGGGGTGGCGCGCGTTATGACTCGGCCCCGTCATTTTTCCAGCTATTACATAACGGGTACACATTATACCCACATACAGGGGGTATTGACACACACTGTACATAACACTGCCCCGGGGGACAGGCCAGCTGACCGGTGTATTGTACCCAACATAATCCTCAGTCACATTGTGTATGCTTATGTGAGTGCTCAACCCAAGACCGAGACGGGGTACAATGTAAATATTGTTCAGAGTATCCCTTATCGTTCCACACCAACAGTGGATGGTCAAACCTCGATATAACGCCAAATCAAGGCATACCTACTCTTTTAATGTTGATCCAAATTTAATACTCTCTAGTTCATGCAGTTTGTACAAATATCTTGGGAGTGTCATGTTTGTATTTTTCATTCGAAATTTAAACTTTATTATTTACCTTATTTCGAGATAACCGTTACGTGATAGGGCTCCCAATTAGATACGGAGGTGTACTCCACCTGAAATATCGATTGATAGATTAAGAATAACTGATTGGGTCGACTTCGTTGCTCAAAACAAGATGTTTGGCACGGAATGGCTAAAGGCAGAATAGACGTTAAAATTTAACACAGTTAATTCCTTTCCTATAACAACACTGAAAGAGCGACGCGAGTATAGTCTATTTCACCTGCCACACAAAAGGTAAGTACTGTTTGATGATCTGCCGGCTTTTATAGTAAACGTTTACAGACTGGGTCTTAGATGTCATAGGTGTGTCTAAGACACACAAAAGTCTCTAAGGCACATTTATGTGTTTATATTATGTCAGTATGAATACATATGGTAGGTGTGCGGAGGGGGTATTTATATGTCTTGCAAATTCTTTGACGGAGGTCAATGTCAGCTGACATGGCTACAAGCAAAACAGAAGGGCCCTTTTGGGGTTGTACATTATGAAAGTACATTTATGTTCCTTTGACGCCATGTGTTTCAGAATTGTGAGATCTTGTAGAAGAACGATTCGTTATGCTTTACGACAGTTTCTTATAATAAAGATGTCAACAAAGTGTAAACAGCTTGTGATCGGGATTACTCCCTTACCAGTTTGTAGTTTATTCACTCCAAATAATAGTCTAAACAACTGTGCATGTGATGATATACATGTAATAGTCTAACAGTTCAACTATGTAGACATTAGTTGCTCTTATAGAACTCATTCTTTTAAACATTACTTTGCTCAAGCTAAAGAAATACTGTTAACAATATTCTGACGATTTCCATGAAACATAACCCGTACGAGGCCCCATACCGTGTCAAACCCGAAGCGCACTGACGGTGTCCGGTGTATGAACTCGATGCGCTCCGGTTGGTAATAATGAAAGGAAGTTACGGATATTGAGTCCGCGTAAGACTTGACAGTCAGACATGTGACTGAAGAGATTAATTCATTGTGAACAGTTATTATTATCAGTAGCAAAGGATCGTGTACTCGGAGACTCATTTTGTAGGAATGTGATATATTACGAAGGAAAGACACGACAAGAATGCAACTGTGTTTATATACACGATTGAGTCGTTACTCAACAAAACTAGACCCACCCACATAACATCAGCATATATCATTTCAAGGTCTAGAAACCCCCTCTTGTCTGTCTCGCGTCTCCTGAACTACATTATTTCCCCTTGAACACAACCCATTTTGAAATGTGAAGGCCTAAATGAAGCCAGTTCAGATTTTCTTTTAATTTAAAAAAAATATTCTTGTATAAAAATTCAGAGATTTGACGCTAGCCACATGTCCATATTGAAAAGCCAGGGCATTCACAAGGCAGAATGAACTGAATAAAGCAAATATCGACCGGTCAAACTATTGTGTAATGTGGATTCTGCTACATTAACATGATGGATGTCCAACGATCGGAACACCCTACCATGATATTGCTTTCTTAATATTAAGAAAGTTCTAGCGTTATTCTTACATTGGACCGCATCCGTGATCTGGAGTGGATAGAGATTGACAGGGAGCAAATGGTCAGTGCTTGGACCGCGTCATACCAACATACGTTAAGGGTGGTACTTGTTGTTACCCTGACTGAACCCAGACATGAATTAACTGCCACATATTCGTGCCTGTATGTAACGGCACCAACGGCAACACAATATTTTGTTCTACCCAAGACAAAAGATTGACGTCTACTTCCAGAAATGTATAGTGTATGAATCCACTTGCACAAAGCGATCTTAGCGAACGACGATCGTAAGCCTATGTTTAACGAATAGGTGTTACAATTGTCGTAGCGGACCGGTAAGATAGCTTTGTTTAAGTGGTCCCTGTTTTCTTTGACAAGATTCGCTAGAAAATCTTATTTGAGTTTTAAAAAGTACGTTTAGATAATCGCGAGTTATTGGCAACAAGTCTTACGTTATAGCTAATAGACATCATATTGTGACGTCATAATAGATTGTCCGTGACAGTACAGGATATTCTCTTGACACATCACGTAAGTAGGTACACTAATGTATTGAACCAAAACAGGCATTTACTATCATTCCAAAGGTTTGTATAAAACAGACACGGTTTTACCGAATGCAATATGGTAAAAGAACGACTCTGCGTAGAGTACCAAGTTTAGCAAGAGGTTAAAACACCAGCGAAAATTATTGCTAAACATTCCCAATGAACTATTTTGTTATCTGATTATCGATTAGACCTCTATAACTGCGAAAGTATTCTTAAGTGACGTTGTTGATATAAACAGTCATTAGATCTAACTGCATGGTTGTTTGTTTCTAAAAGTGGTGGCAAAAATTATACTCGTTCACGAACAAAATATTTTCTTATTTCAGACAACAATGAGCATTCTGAGGGGCTACAGCTGAAGCAAGGCTAGCTTTTCTAAAAACGAGAACAACAATGGGGGATTCAAAGACACGTTATGAAATGTCCCGAGCCTTAATGAATCATCTTGCACCCATTAAGGAGGAGTCATTTCTCTCGTCCTCCTCGGGAGCATCCCCCAGAAATGTCCAGCAAGTCCGTCTCAACAACCGGCCAATTCTTATTCAAACTCTACCACCAGATCCAAGGAAAGCCCCATCACAGAAACCGAGACCCCAACCGCAGCCCCGGAAGCCTGTGAATCAAACAGACACGTCTGTCGATCAACTGGTGGCTGACTACCTCCATTTCGCTAAGTACAGTGCTGCTATTCCCGTGAAGACAGACACATGGGACAGCAACGAAACGTTGTATTGTTCGTGCTGCAGTGATCGTAACAGTGAAAACATGCGGCGCAAACGCGGCCTGCCTCCAGAAAAACCAGTCCATTCGTCTGCACAAAAGACTGAACAGCAACCCTCCGAAGCAAACGACAGAGTAGAAAGGTCAAGGCCGTTACGGACGACTATTCCTCCAAATCAAAGCTGGATGAGTTATCAACCCTTGCCATATGCTCAAACATATCTTAATCCCGAATTCAACCGACCAGCTGTTGTCCAAGAGTATTTACAGAGCACCAAGGGGGATGATGAAAGAGACAAAGTCAGGGCTCAGATTCTCGAATCCAACACAAAGTTTGATCAAGCTATGAAAAAGCTGCGTTTTACAACACAGAAACTTGATCCTGAGTTTGATGAAACCAAATTTTCATTTTCATGATCTTCTCTTCATGCAAGGAATGCATTTAAATCATGAATTATTTTGTTGCTGTTGAATTCCTAACATCTCTCGAAATAACAAACCACAAGTGCCACTCCAAACCACTTTTTCACATTCCTTTCTTGTAACAATGTTGAATATTATATCTAGGTAATGAAAGTTTAGTTTGCTGTTAGCCAGTATCCAAATACAACTTGGCTGTGTTCAGAGTTGAATATTCCTCATCCCCACCGAAGTAGTGGTATGCCAATGTTAAGTGAGTAGCTCTTACACTTCTCATGTCTTTTTAGGTATCCATTATGATTCTCCGATAGGATATTCTGTTCTACTTTCTTAATCATGTCTGTGATATTTTGTTCTAAATTTATAAAGAAAAACAATGTACATGTAGTTTGTTTTGTTCCATTCCACATGGGTACAATGTGAGAAGCCCATTTCTGGTGTCCCCCCGCTGTGATATAGCTGGAATATTACAAAAGCTGGGTAAAACCATACTCACTCAATCGCTCCATTCAAACCCAAGATCTTCAGGGAGACTGCATTATCACAGAGAGATTTCACTCTTTGCCTTTTAACCCAAGTCGACACACTGACGTAACTTGGAACAAACTAAATGGTCTTTCATCTACATTGAACTCATAAGACAAACATGGAAGGATTTGTTAAGCAAAATTTTATTCAGTAAATATAAAATGGTAACGTATGGAATACCATATGACGTGCAACAATTATTTGTTCAGACAAAACGCATCCTGAAATCAATGCCGTTGGTCCCTTTAAGGGTTTACTTAAAATAACTCCCAGCATATGCACATGATCCCCAAAACCAATCAACAAATTGATTTAACATCAGAAAAATGAAGCACTTAAGTATTAACTCAGTGTGGAAAAATTATTCATCATGGAATGTTCACATTAAAATCATTACAATTTCAATTTCAACGGAAGAAACTTGAAAGATGAAGGGAATCAAATCCGACTGAGGCACCAATCAGTCACTTAATTATGAATCAAATGATAAGGGAAAATAAAGAACAAAGAGACCAGAATAACACTGTATAGCTTCCAATGCTTAAGGCAATGATACTTGATTTCCTAAATAATATGCACTGAAATCAAGTATGACATGAGCTTCGAAATGGATTACACAATGTAATCAATGCATTAATGAGTGAGAAATAGTGTCATTCTGTTTCAGAAATGCTTAGTACTGGTCAATACTAGTATCGTACTTGTCAACACTAGCATCAGAGACCAAAATTGTTTGATAATGATATGACCTCATGATAAGTACAAACAAAGATCAGGATTAACAAGAGAGAGAGATGTAAAACTGCATGAATGATTCACTGAATATCATGAAGTAACCATGTCCCATAAAGTTCCTATGAAATAATAATATCCTTCCTACCACGTTCACCCTGGTTCATACCCTGGCACTACTTCAAAGGTCTCTTCCAAAGTTACGGGGGATAACAGGCAGTTTGAAAAACAACAACAGGAAATGAACAGATCTTAAAGCAGACAAAGCATTGAATGAGACATGACAGAGTATACAAGAAATAAATGGGATTAGAATGAACACAAATATATATTCCTCCGAAGAAGCAGAGAAAATGACTACAAGTGAAACATAGACAAGAGACCTGTCATCAGCAGTGGCAAAATCACCTACATTGCACCCATCATCTCTGCTTCATCAGGGGTAGGAGTAAAGATGAAGAATATAAGAGTTTGATTGACAAAGGCAGAGTAAAAGCCTCATATGTTCTAGCTACTTGTATAATCATAAGACAAATAATCATAATATAAGGATTATGAAGTCCAGTATCTTCCATTTAACAAGCTAAGGACAAAGAAGGTACATCTGTGCTTCCTATCAGTCCACTAAGGACAGGCCTAAAGTATTGTCAATGCCCGTCTTGTTTTCGGAGTGCTGTACAAAGGTGTTGTTCCAAAGGTAAATAGCACCAAAGTTCATTCATCATTTTCTTTCTTCCCGTATTTCAAAATCCGTGTGAACTCTATGTAGTCAAAGTTACCCCTCTTGATTGGTGCATCCCGAAACATTTCATCTACCTGGAACAAAGAAAGGCATTAATTAGACTACCATACAACCCCATATACACTTTGAAACAGACCACCATACAACCCCATATACACTTTGAAACCATTCATACATGTACTTTTCCAAAAATTACAACATCATTAAATAACAAAATCCTTCAATTACTATTGAAAGTTCAACATTTTTTTTCGTTTTTAATTATATTTTATTTTAATTTTTTTTAAAAATTAATTGTCAGTGTGATGACAGTTTCAGCATTAAATCAGAGTAAGCCTTCGTCTACAGTAATAAGTGACGTGAAGAAAAAAGGGGCTTAACTTCACTCTATTACATTTACATAGTGACATGCATGTTAATGTGTTACAGCTTGGGCTAGTTTTAAAGAGCTAGTCCACTATGACACCAGGCCATGTTGTAATTTGGATATGCCACGCAGACAATCCTGAGCTGACCAGTCCTGTTTCATGCTTTGATACAGAGCGTCAGGCAGGAAAACAACCTGTACCATCTTTTGACCAGAGGTCATGTAATCTGTTAGACGATGGACGCTGTGTCTTCAGTAATAATTCTACGCACCTAGCAAATATGCAATTGATTCCAAAGTGACAGGCTAAGTGAATGAAACTGTTAACATTGAAGTCAGCACTATTAGTCATATCACACTATATGTGTTTGTCAGCACCTAATCCAGGTACCTCTGCTAATCTATTAGTAACTTGTCCTTAAGTTTGATAAAAAGCATGGGATCCCATGGACCTATTATGCTGCAGAATCATATCTGTCAGCAAAGCCATACTGTATCTAATCTAGAAATATATAAAGTGACTTTGTAATGTAAGCATGTTCACACAGCATCTCATACTTACATCTTCATCATTAAACCTATCCCCCATGGTCGTCAAGAGTTCCCTTAACCTCTCTTCCGGGATGAGGCCTGCAATGAACAATACCAAGTAAACATCGGACAGCAACACTGAAGATGAAATATTTGCATCCATACTTGATGTTTTTGTTTGATGTCACACTCAGCAATATTCCGGCTATAAGACGGAGGTCTGTAGGTAATCAAGTCTGGACCAGACAATCCAGTGAGCAACAGTGTGATCAACATCGATCTATGCAATTTGGATAAGATGACATGTGTCAACCAAGTCATCGAGGCTGACTACCTGATCCCATTTGTCACCTCCTATGACAAGCATGGGTTGCTGAGGTCCAATTCTAACCCGATCTTCATGGGTACATGAATGGACCTATTTGTGATATGCAAAGTGGTATAGATGTCGCAAGTCAAAGAAAAACTGACCACTTTGCTTGCCAAGACACAGCTAAAATCCCTCCAGATTGTCATCCAGTAGAGAGGATGTAGACATAAATATCACCATCAAATATAACTTAACATACCTGTACTGTCCTCATCAAAACAAGCAAATGCATTCTTTATGACATCTTCAGGGTCAGTTCCATTCAGTTTCTCTCCAAACATTGTGAGAAACATTGTGAAGTTAATTGGTCCAGGTGCAGCATTCATCATTTCATCGAGATAAGCTTCTGTTGGACTCTTACCTTGAAACAAACACAAAAAGATAATCAAAACCTATCAATGTAGTGTTCTGAACTTAAACTGACAGAAAATTGGGGACACCAGAAATGGGCTTCACATATTGTGCCCATGTGGGGAATCGAACCTGGGCCTTCCTCATGATAAGCGAACACTTTAACCACTAGGCTACTCCACTACCCCCAGTTATAATGAACTGAAGTTAGTGGTGCCTTATGTTTCATACAACTGTTGTTCACTCTATTTCCTAGGTCAGATATCCACCTCTAACCAACTGACTGTTGTTTATCACTGTACTGGTCATCATGAATACCCTTCTCACTCTCCTGATAAAGAATCATCTGTTGTAAAAATAATTATAACCTGGAGCAGGCAATATTTTGATGGTGCAACCTGATAAATTCATTTGGTTGCACCTGGTGCAGGTAGTGAAAACAAAGTACAATCACACCCTGTACACATGGTACAGTACCCAAGTTTCTAATCAGTGAAAATGCATTTGTTATCACCAGGAACACAGTTTGCTGATAGAAGGAAGTGTTTCCTTTGTAAGACCATTAACCATTTAGACATGATACAAATATATTCCTAACATATTCATAACCAGGACATAAAACATGAATGATATCTCAGTTTGTCAATGTGTGGAATTGGTGTTACTGCAGCAAGTGTTTATATGTTTGTATCTACTGTCAGTCAGATTATTTCTTTCGTAAAAACTAGACCAAACCAGTTTTGCAACCGCTAATGGTTCAGAGCAGGACAAGGGGCGGTGGGGTAGCCTAGTGGTTAAAGCGTTGGCTCCTCACGCCGAAGACACGGGTTCGAATCCCCACATGGGTACAATGAGTGAAGCCCATTTCTGGTGTCCCCCGCCGTGATATTGCTGAAATATTGCTAAAAGCGGCTTAAAACCAAACTCAGTCAGTCAGTCAGAGCAGGACAATTAGCCTGTGTTGAAATGATGTGCAGCCAACCACGAAACCCTTGATTAATTACAGTATATATCTGTCCACCAACATAAACTATTTTCAGCAATCCCGGTGAGCAATGCACTTTAATTAATTATCCTTGTGTGAAAAATAGAAACAAGCAAGACAGGAGATTTGCCATATTCAACAAAATGTTTTTAGAACTAATGGTATTAGTAAGTTAAAACATTCTAAAATTCTAAAGAGTAAAATGTTTATGAAGATGATGTGTTGGAAACACTTTTGTCAGTGGCCCACTCAACTTGGTTTTTTTTGGTTAAAGACAGCATTTTACCCGAATTTTTGCTATGAGCTTCATTTTATTCAAATTCTTATTCTTAGCTTACTGCCAGCTGAAATTACTTGACTGAACTGAATTTACAAGAATCAGGCTTTTGACATCAAGGGAAAGTCACCTTCTAAGAAATGTTCTTGATATTATATAGAAGCAGTGGTTATATATTTTGTTATGGTAAATCATAACAAGCATCAGGCTAATGACATCCAAACATCAGCATATTTTTAAGTGGCGGATATATGACACAACATACAATGACTTATGAATTTAAGCTGCTGATTGAAAAGGTTCCACAAAATACAGGTTTCCTTTTTCATAAAAAAAGGATATATTTTAGTTTCTATTCATGTTTCAGAATAGATCACAACAAATCAAGCATATTCTTTCATCAATAACCACTTCAAATTCCTTAAGTACAAAGAACAAATAAACATATTTATTATTTATTACTTACCCATTGATGCAAGCATATCATGCAAATCTTCCTTGTCAATAAAACCATCTCGGTTCTGGTCTATCATATTAAAAGCTTCTTTGAATTCCTGGATCTGAGCTTGGTCAAACATAGCAAAGACATTGGAAGTGGCACGCTGGGCCCTCTTCTTGGTGGTCTTTGCCTTGGTCTTTCTGCTTGACATTTTGGTGATTAGCGGATACACGAACACGAAAAGAAATATCTGAAGAAAAAAAGAAACAGTTTTGTATACATTTCATCAATCTTTTGGGCTCTTCTGTAAACAGGAAATTCACCCTTTGGATTTACAGTAGGTTCCATTTGCTGGAAGCGAAAACAAATTGTTCAAAGCAGAGCCAATTAATAAAATAATTACTTTCAATGAACAAAAGTGGACATAATTCAAACATGCAAGACATACATGGACTTCAAATTAAGGAAGGTTATCACTTTCTAATCCAATACTATATTATTTATTATAAGAGGTTTAGTCCATAACATGAAGTGTATGAGCGAAGAGAACTGTTTCTACCTGTTCAGTCGTTCACAACAACGAATAATGATGTTTTCTTGAATCAATCACCTGATTTGAGGTGAATGTCAATTTAGCCAAAGGCTAAACCAATGTCAACTGTTCACTAGTCGTCAAACCTGACCGACCACCTGCTTTAGGCGAAGATCGCAGGTGTCAGGGCTCAATTGTTAAATACTATCAGGAAGTCAGTTTTGCATTGTACAGTAACTCTTCTGAGCAAAACAGTAACATTCTAGCAGGGACTCCTTATTTGGTCTAAAGTAACCTTGATTTAAGGAACGTCACATCCGAGTGATTCATATCTCGTATTCAATGAATGACAAACATCCAGACGGAAGCTAAATTAGGTCAAAAATCCAATCCATTTCCACGACAATAACTATAAAATATATACGTTAACGAAAGCTACGACTGCTTACATACACACCCAATTTAATTATTCAGCTTAAAAGAAAGATGTGCAAAGTGGACGAAAGGCAATAAAGAACAATATTTGGTTTAAAGTCGCACCCACCTGCAAGTTGTCGAGACTGTTAGTCGTTGAACGGAAATCTAACTGCACATGCGCGGCGTGATGTCCTACGGAAGCTTTCGTTCGAAATGCTGTAATATAACATTCCAGTATGGGATAGGTAGAATGACGTCATTACTTTGGGCTTGAGGTTTTAAAAGTATTTCAGACAAAGAGTTTATTGGATCCACAAGCCATTTTATTCATGGATATTGATAAGATGAATTAAATTCCATGTTTCAAACAATTCTTAGCCAAGTAACAGAAAATAGAAGCATTCGTAAAATAACATATTGGCTGAAAATGTTGGGGCAGATCAATCACTCGCCACTCATAATGACACATACACGGCCAGTATTCACTGAGCCCGCCAAGCCAAGCCCCCCGTTTCTATCTACAAGCATGAGGTACTGGCGTCATTTTTACCAGGAATCCAAACAGGATTTGAATTTGAAAAAGGAGGGAACCTAGCTTGCACCTCGTTTGTATGGACGCTGGACTGAAAGTTTTAAAGAACCAAACTAGATAGTCACTGACAGTCCGGTCACTTCGTTGATTGGTGTCCGCTTCTCAGCTGTTACGTGTGCAAACGCTTGTCCATTTCGCTCTATAATTGGTCATCAATAAACCATGCTCGTCGCAATATAAGCGACTAACGGATTCGGGTGGTCAAGCTCGCTGACTTGGTTAACGCATGTCATTATATATCCCAATTGAGTTGATCAATGTTAATGCTGTTGATCTCTGGATTGCCTGATCCAGACTTGATTATTTACAGACCGCCGCCATATAGCTGGAATATTGCTGGGTACGGTGTTAACAACCAACCAACCAACCGCTCCATCTCTTCAAAACAAACAGACATGCTGCTAAACGTACTTATTCCCACCCCAAACTGTCAATAATGTCTAACGTTCACTGTCTGTGAAGTCAGACCTCCATGAGCTTGGATACCAATGGAACATGTTGGTGTTTTGTGATATTTTCTGTCAATTAATCGTTGAAATTCTATACGGTTAAATTATATCCTACCATAACCGCGTTATTAAGATTTATAACAAATACATATACTGTGTTGGAAAACCAGAGGAATTTAACGCGATTATATACCTCTGAATGACTTTTATTACCCAATCACAATCCAGTCTTTTCTGAAGTAATGGTAGAATGGTTTTTACGAAATGGAATAGGTGGTTGTATGATTTTGTACGATAAATAGAGAATCTCACCCAAGTGTCTTCTGATATCAATTATATCAACACGAGTTGATATCAGTAGACACTTGGCTGAGATTCTCTATTTATCATCCAAAATCACTCTTCATTAATTTTCAATGAAAAATGTACATCTCTGAACAAGGTACTGCCATTAGACTTGCAGTGCAGCGATGTCATAGCATTGTGACGTCATCAAGTACATGACGTCATAGCATTGTCAGGGCATTGTACAAAGTCTACTGTCAAAACAATATCTCCTAGGAGATATCGTTGGATCTCACACAAGCGATATCTCCTGTGGAACACAGTTTTGGCTGATAAATAGAATCTTACGTGTTTTGCGCATGCACTTACATTAATAATTCTACCTGTATGCCCTCCGTTTCTATATGTTAACTGCATTCGTTCTGCGTCACGGGTACAGGGTGATTACAAACGTATTACAATCCTCCCAAAGTGCATGACTCTATTTATGTGATGCTGCCAAGTTTTTGTCGATATCTGTACATAAAAATGCCCAAGGCTGCAATTTTGTCAAGGTAACTTGTCCAGGAAACAGGTGGCACCTAATTTATATCACATAGTTTAATTAAGTGGAATTTAGATGACAGTAAAATACTCAACAACAAGGTTTAATATACACTGTATCCATGAATAAAGATATGCGAGTTTTTTTTTTAAAATATGTAACAACACTATATTATTTCACTGATGAATTTACGCGTGAAAGAGATGACAAAGATGTTCAACTTTCAGACTGAGTCTGTTGTGGTTGTTGTCTGGGGTGGGACAATTATATCTGGCAACCATAATGTGACCATTGTTTTATCTGAATAAACTGAAGGTCGTCTGTACTTTAAAAAGTCATTTTAGGTTTATGGATTATTTTCTTATCACACATTCATTGTTCAAATTTTAGCAACCATGCAAACTTAAACGTTTACGTTCTTTCTTTTTGATTCAGCTATCATGATATCAACTTGACAGGTAGCTATAAATATGAAATGCTACTTTACTTGAACTGAACATTCCGAAAAATACGTAAAATACTTTCAGAGCTAGGCCTACTGCTTTAATGGTTGTCAGATGTCATCAGAGACCATATAATATTAAATGGTCTCTGATGTCATGCATGTTTTTTGTCCAAAGTTATATATTTGTCCAATACACGCTCTTTCATATCAATATTACATTTTCGCCGAGCCTGGATGACTCATTGCTCACGAGGATATAAATATATCTCTGAAACTAGATTTTTTTCGAAGTGATAAGCTATCCGGTTTCCTCTTGAATGCAAGCTTTCTGTCATTGCTATTGCTATTTGCGTTCACTCATTGTTGTTTTGTTTTTTTTGCCACATAGATAGCTATTGTCACTTGTGATACAACATTCCTTTTCAATACATTTATTACACCATATACATAATGTTTATATATTAGTTTTTTTAATTTAGATTCATGTTTCAATATTTCATTAGTGCATGATGTACACGGAAGCGGAAGCAGTGGTTTTCAAGATGGCGGCAAAACAAAGTTTGCACAAAAGCGAAAGCATCAAAACGTGAAAAAACAATGAACCGCGTGATGCACACTATTCTTTGTGCAGTCTTTTCTAACCCAGTGTTCATAGTTTCTGTTTGAATTGTACTGTCAAGATGAGCGCAAATTCTGTTGAAGAACGTGTCACTGATGTGATTTCGGACTTGCTGGTAAGCAAAACAAACGTGCATTGTTAGTTTAGAGCACTGTCTTGGGGTCGGAAATAACAACATTATTTCAATGTTCGCAGTAATATTAAATGTTTTCTGGACTCGTGACAGTAGAGCTACAGTAGAAAATCTTTTGATTCTTACTTTCTTGACATAATTAGCAGACGCCAATGTTCCCCACCATGCTATGAGGGTGAAGAATACCGAGTATAAGCTAAGACGGCACATTACCAAAACGTCATTACTTCATGTGTCGAAAATGGCACCTTATATTTATCTTAAAAATAACTAATTATGCTTTTAGATGTTTTCTACACCCTGTTTGTCATTATTTCCAAACAATTTACAATTAATTGCTTTACCTCTCTAATACAATACAGCTTGTAACAACACTATCACTTAATGGGAAACAAAACCTTTTGTTGTCAGACTTGTCCAGGCAGTCGATTTAGTGTCAGCAACTCACCAAACTGGGTTTCGGTCCAGCTTGGATGGACCTCCATGATTACCTGGGGAAAACCCTTGTATTTCTCATATTTGATCGAATTATGTCACCTTGCAAGGTCTAATATGTGTGTAAATGTGTATGTACAATATTTACTTCAGTTTACAGCAATCACTTTCATTTTCTTACAACCTGTGAAGGTCCAGGTTAGAATGAACCTTCAGTAACCCATGCTTGTCGTAAGAGGCGACTAACGGGATCGGGTGGTCAGGCTCGCTGGCTTGGTTGACACATGTCATCGGTTCCCAATTGCACAGATCGATGCTCATGCTGTTGATCACTGGATTGTCTGGTCCAGACTCGATTATTTACAGACCACCGCCATATAGCTGGATTATTGCTGAGTTTGGCGTAAAACTAAACTCACTCACTCATTTTCTTACAGAGAAGTCATGCCATAGAGGAGGCATTCTGCAACATAATTGTTCACAGTGAAGAAAACGATGCATGGAACAGCAAATACAGTGTAGAAAAACTGAAGAAGCTATGGCAGACAATACCACAGGTTAGTATACTGTATGGTAGACAGCACCACAAGTTTGTAAGCTCTATGGCAGACAATAGCACAGGTTAGTATACTGTATGGCAGACAGCACCACAGGTTAGTATACTGCATACCACAGGCTAGTTTTAAGTCGTGCATTGAAGACAATACCATAGTTACTTCAAAGTATAGAAGACTATACATGGCTATTGGCTCCTAAATTAATCATAGTCCATGTGTTCAAGATCATGTCAATATATGATTATGATGCTGTTCAAACGGTTTGGTTTTAAAAACAGTGCTGGAAATCCAGATCTATTGTCAATGCATCAGGTTCCAAAAAAGCTCTTAGGGAAACTACTTTAGGTCTTCTGATCACAGAATATACGACAAAACTTTCCTCCCAACAATCTATGGGTGTGTCTAAGATGAAGACAATTTTCCTGTAACATATCAGTCTGCGCCAAAACATGTTTAGACTAGTAGCACCAAAATAAGACTGGTGGACTTTAGTGTTGTTATGATGACTGTTATTAGCTGAACTTTCCAGACTACACAGAATTTACCTTGACTGTGGCTTTGGATGAGTATCGTAACTTGCAGACCGACATATCATTAATATGTGAATACAAGGGGTTGGTATTGCCGAGAATTTTCATATTTCAATATATTGCGATGCAAAAGCATATATTGCGATATATATTGCAATATATTGCAAGAACTTTTTTTTAACAAAAAACTACTTATAATCAAGTTAATGCATGATTTACAAAGCAAAAACACAACAAAATCACTATGCTTGATTAAGCTTTAATAAATACTTTTAATCATGACAAAATAAAAATGTAAATAATGTTTGGCACAAATGAAACAAAGAAAGGAACAAGTTAAAAAACGGAAATATCCAAAGATTTCTGAGTGTTAAGAACTTTTCCGAATGCATGTCAAAATCCCGGTTTTCGATCAGCGTATCGCAATATGTATCGTTTTCATGCCTGAACCGGTAAATACCGGTAAACCGGTTATATTGCGCAGCCCTAGTGAATCCATGGAGAATCTCATGTGATTTTATTTACCAGGCTTATTGAAACATTTGCAGTGAATCCTTGTGTTGTCAGCTCAGTTGTTAATACATGTATGTGTAACTTTTGTGATATAATTATTTTTTATACCAGCTTGTTACAGTTTCTCACAGAAACTTGAATATGTGAATACATGACTACATGAAGTGCCCAACCCATTTAGAAAAACATTTGATATGTTTCATACCAAATATTTGCGCACATGCTGTGTCATATTGTTTATTGTGTTATAATTGTTCCAGGAGTCACAGGACATTGGGCTGCGCACATTTGTAGATTTGTTGCATCGCCAGTGCAATGCCAGCCGAGTGAATCTTCTGTGTGAGCTGTTGGAATCAATGGTGGAGAACTGTGTTGTAGCTCCAAGGTACTGAATCAGTATTCAAACTTAAAGGAAATCAAGAATCATACCCAAAACTATATCCCACCCATTCAGTGATTGTATAAACAGTTGTGCCATTTCTTATCAAGTTAATAAGCCATTTATTGTCTTGATTGAGTATAACCACTCTGTTACTGGTTAGTATTCTATAGGGGCGGTAGGGTAGCCTAGTGGTTAAAGTGTTCACTCGTCAGGCTAAAGACCCGGGTTCGATTCTCCAATGTGTGAAGCCTATTTCTTTTGTCCCCCACCATGATATTGCTCTAATATTGCTAAAAGCAGAGTGAAACTAAACTCACTCACTCACTAGTATTCTATTAAGTAGACAATGCTGCACAAGAAATTCAAGATTATTGATCTCAAGTGAACTTTCATTTAGACCATTTAGACTTATTAACGAAGTCTTAAGATGGTAGTATATCTGTTTATTACTTACAGAAGTGGAATAAAGAGCTTTCATATATCATCATTTTCTACTGGGCCACACAAAGCTGTTATAATATTACCATACGTGTGTGTAATAATGTGATACATCATTCAAGGTCTATCTGTGAGGCTTTACTGACCCGTGATGGTCTGAGCTACAGCCAGCCCTTGTTGTGGAATGCTACTTTCAAGCTGATTAGGAAGATTATAGGAGGGGTGGACTACAAGGTGAGTTCAAGGAATGGTAGGAGTACATTAAATATTGATTTAATCATTTGGTATTGATGATATAAAAAGGATCTATCATATAAAATAGTATTGACAACATAAGATGACATTGATTTATGGAAGTGATGAAAGTAATTATTCATGGTGATCAGTGTCATCAATACTCTACAATACAATACTCTGACTGTGGGGTGGTTTTCATTGTGATGAATTGTCTCCCTTGTGCAGGGTGTTCGAGATCTACTGCGGGTCATCCTGGATAAGTTGCAGAATTCCCTGCCATCAGACAATGTGGCCGTCCAGCCAGAGGTGGAAGTGGTGACTGATGTGAGTATCCCAATGTTGTTGAACTGACGACACTCACGGGGTGAACAATGTATGTCAACGTACTACCAACAAATGTTCTACATAGACTATGATTGAGAGTATGAACCTAAAGGGGGACTCGGCTCTGGCAAGTTGGCATTCCTAGCAAATTTGATTCTGGTGTTCAAGCACCATGTTGGTTATCTGTTAACCCAAGATATTTGTCAGTCTAGTAGTTAAGACTAATGCTAAGTCTATACCAAGACTGACAGTGGGAACATCCAACACAGCCTTCCATTACATGACAGGGATGGATAACTGTAAACCGGTTTACATTGGTAGTTGGTAGTTTGACAAGGTAGCAATCTTTACTAGGTGGAAAAATGTCATCCTCACCATGATGATGTTAATTCATCCAAAACTGAAGAACTCAGTGCTGTTTAAGCGGTAGATGATAGGGTGAAGACATTTTCTCCATTATTATCCCCGCCACGAAGTGAGGGGACATAGGTTTGAGCTCCGTCCTTCCGTCTGTCCGTCAGTCCGTCTCAGTGGTCGGGGACAGCTTTTCTCAAAAACCGTTATAGATAGGGAAACAAGATTTGGTATGTGTTTTCAGGACATGAATGCCTTGATGGAGTTCGAAAACTAAACCGTGTTACAATTTGTTACAGAGTTATGGCCCTTGTCATGCGTTTCTTGACTTAATGCTTGGTATCCCCAATGGGGACAGATTTTCCCAAAAACCGTTATAGATAGGGAAACAAAATTTGGTATGTGTTTTCAGGACATGAATGCCTTGAAGGATTTCTAAAACGGAATCTATGTTACGATTCTTTACAGAGTTATGGCCCTTGTCATGCGTTTCTTGACTTGGTGCACATTATCCTCATTGGGAACAGATTTTCTCAGTAACTGTTATAGGTATGGAAACCATATTTTGTATGTGTTTTCATGAAATGAATGTCGTGGTGGAGTTAAAAAACAGGAACCATGTGGCAGGGGATATTGATTACCATGTGTTCTTGTTTGATTTGACATTGTTGTGGGTGTCATTCAGATGAGGAAGCAAACGTTCAAAAGATATTCTTCCTCCACAGGTAGTCACATATATCCTGGACAGAAATGCATGTCTCCTACCAGCATACCTGGCCATTAATGAGATCACCAAAGTCTGCCCTGATACAAGCACATGGCCTCAATGGGTGAGATACCGGACAGTCCAGGAGATTTCTATATACACTTAATCTTCAGTATTGTGTCATTTGAGGTTGTGTAGTTCCATCTTGGTAGGTGTGCTGTTCATAGAATAAAACATGTTTCTACTTTCATTTTGATTTCAATATTTTTGTTTAACTGAACAAGTGCTCTCATTCAAAAAACAAACCTGATGCATTCTACTTTCAATACATAGATTGACAGCTTTGTGGATGGCTGTATATACTTTTAACACTACATCTGTAAGTACTTCAGCTAGATTAGCCAGTTAAAAATCGAGTACGGACTCGGCAAACGTGTGATTGATATTTGGGAACATTGACACACATTCAACCAAGTCAGTGAGCTTGACTACCACTACATTGTTTGAAACTTTTTGACTGAAATGAATCATGGTGCACAGGACTGGAACTTAGTGGAACAAATTTGATCATTATATAAGGTCAGAAATGAATCTTTGCAAATAATAGCAATAATCACACCTTGAGTTCTATACACAATCAGTCGAAATAGAAGTTCACAATGACATGTATCACGTTTTGCAGAGCATGGGGAAGATGTTGTCGAGTTTTGTGGACAGTTTCCGACCAGCTGCTCAGATGGTCTCCATCGCAGGTGAGAATCAAACAGAAGCTATAGAAATACAGAACATGAGAACATGGTTGAAACCATGCATATCAAATGTCTTGGAGTGAAATGATACAATGAAATAATGTACTGTATTTCTCGTAAACCAGGGCGAAGTCATCTGTTGCCAGTGGTAGGGCACTCCATGTCCATGAATAACGTATGGCGTCTCAATACCACGACACTTCGCTTCCATCTCAGCGGTCCTCTCCCCTACGACAAGGCAAGTTAAACGACTTTCTTACGTTTTACATGAATTACACTAACACATTGGTATTTAACTACCTGAAGTTATGTGTCTTCAGCTTAACGTAAAGATGAAGTAGATGGTACGATTGTAACACATTATTGTAGCACGTAAATAGCCTTGTTCTATTTCAGGATTTGAATGTGTCTTCAGTTTTAGTCTTCCATTGTGACTGTTGATTTGATTAAAGTTGTGTCTTGTTAAAGCAATAATTATCTTAAGCTGATGAAGTGACAGTAGTGAGTATATATCCGTTTTAAATGAAATTATAAATATATATTGAAGCCTTTTGACTTAGTAACCCTCATCTCTAATATACCACACTCAAATCCTAAATTACTTTCCGAAAATATTATCATGAAGTGAAATGATCCAAAACATCAGATTCATAAGTGAAGTAGAAAAACTGGGAAAAGTTGACAGTTTTTTTTCCCTTCAATTTCAATAATTCATAAATTCATTCACCATGGAAACCGTAAATGTACACTTTTTGGTTTGCAAGCCTATTTTTTTCCTTTGGTTTTGGTATTGTGAGTTACTGAGTAAAGGGTTGAAGGACATTGGCTGTGTGACATCCATGTTGTCCCGGCAGGCTATTCAGGACCCCCAGACAAACTTGTTGAGATACGTCCTAGAGCAGCCCTACTCACGCGAGATGGTGTGCAACATGCTGGGTCTCAACAAACAGGTAGGCAGCAGTTGTCTAGCTCATATTTAAGTAAAAGGTTCTTACTGACTTATATCTATATTGTATTGTTTACTCTTCTTTTTGGTTGTATTATGTGTTTTTCAAAATATGGACACCCATCTGTTATGAGTTTATGTGTCAAATTTTTAAACTTATCCTGTCTCACGGTATGCATTTCTCTCTCTTAATTCGATACTGAGTGGAACGATGTAAACTTTTTTTCCCTTGGCCTCTCTTGTCCATCCGCCCAAGCACTCCATGCTACCCTCATTATAAGACAGCTTCCTAGTTGTCATGCAAAGCATGCGGCATGCACCACTAGCTACCCGTGTGACTATCTCTGAATCATCCTTCTCTTTCTTGTCGCACATGAGTGTGAACATGTTTTGCTTTGCTCAACATTTTCAACTTTAGTCTACAACATGGGAAAGTTGACCAGCCAAAAAAGAGGAAGAAATGCTCCCGGTGTAATAAAGTGTTCTCTGCGAGTGATCCACATGGGTATTGTGTTGACTGTGTGGGACAGTGTAAATGGGACTCTCGGTGCGATAAATGCAAGGATCTTACCTTTGAGGCGTTTGGTGACTACAATTGGGCTTGCGCTCGTCATGTTGCTGACAGAGCTCTTTATGCCGCTTCACTTGACGGCCCCAGTCTCTCCAAGAAAGGAGGGGCGGTGGGGTAGCCTATTGGTTAAAGCGTTGGCTCATCACGCCGAAGACCCGGGTTCGAATCCCCACATGGGCACAATGTGTGAAGCCCATTTCTGGTGTTCCCCGCTGTGATGTTGCTAAAAGCGGCGTAAAACCAAACTCACTCAGTCAGTCAGTCCAAGAAAGGAAAGTTTAAGTGTCCTACTTTGTCTGCTCAGCGGTCACAGTCCCCTCCCTCGAATGAAGAGGATTTCATGAGAGCGTCGTCAGCTTCTTACTTATTGGAAGACCTTCGGAATTTGTTGGGCTCTCAACATTCCAGCCCGAGCCCTTCGTCTTCGACCACGTTCCGGGTAGTGGTTGTCGAGACTGCTACCACCCCTCAGGATGCCTCTACACTGTGGAACTACACTCTCTGCCTCTCGTTCTCTGGACCAGTTATCGTGTCAACCTGGCTTATCTGTTTCGGACAAGAATCAGCTGATCTCTACGCCTGACTGCACAGAGTGCATGCGGAGAAGCCGCTCGTTCGTCCAGTAGTGAGAGGAACCAGTCTACCTCGCCTCAACGCCTCAGTGGTAACTTCGCCATCTCCTTCCCATTCGGCGAAAAGAAGCGTTGTTTCTGGCATCCAGCTACCTCGGTCTTCCGCTTCGCCGAAGCCTGCCAGATCGAATCACAGTTCGCCGGATCACGCTTCGCCTGTCCGCTCCTCTCCACCTCGACTTTCACCGGACTGTCCACCTTCCCCAGAATTAGACCGGCTCTCTACAAAACAGCTTTCACCGAAACGTCATTCCACGAATCAACGTTCACCGAAACAGCATTCCATGAATCGGCTTCCTACGAGCGCTTTTCGCCAGATCGTACATCTCTTAGTGCTTCGCCGAACTCAGTTGGCTCTCCTAGTTTTTCTTGTTCGTCGAGGAAACATGGTTCACCAAACCGTTTGGATCAACCGCCTACCACTATTCGGATTTTCTCGCCAAAATGACATGCTCGAAATCTCGTTTTGCCCACATCTATGAGATCCGTTTTACGGCGAATCCCCAGTGTTGTCTCATACAACTTCCAACACGGAAGATTCCCAACCTACTGGTTCATCAGAGATTCCCATCTTGGCAGGGATGTCTCCCACACATTTACAACGCATTCACCTGGTCGAACTTAGCAACGCCATCGACCTGCTTCGTCAGATCGTCCTGTTTTCCCGTCATGGTTTGCCGAACTTATCCAAGTATCATCATCGAACTGTTCTGGCGTAACATCGCCGAACTGTTTTTTCAGCAAAGGAATGGCTCATCTCGTTCGTCTGAACCACAACATCCCCGTACCAGTTTGGCAGACCGATCTGAACCTCATCATCGAACTAGTTCGTCAGGCCAAACCGATTCGCCGCACCAGAACCAGATCACAGTACCGTTCCAGATCTTACCTCGCCGATCCAGATCACCGAACTGACCCCGGTCACCAAACTGTACCCGATCGCTGATCCAACAGCATTCGCCGACCTGATTCAGCGTTTATTTTCTGTCGCATGATGTTACTTCCAACACGACGTTTCTTCAGAACGCACCTTGAGGTTCGGCGAATATGTACGGCGATATCCCTTCATCAGTGGCAAAGTTGCTGGGTCTCCTCACCTAAGCTCAAGCCTTCACTTACAGAAGTCAACTTCAGGCTCTAATTCATCTTTGAAGCTATATTGATGATTGCATCCAGGCACAACAGGATTTGATAGTACTTCGCCACTAACTGTAGTTCACCACCATGCTGCTTTGGCAGTTAGGGTGGCTACTGTACATTGCTGTATTGAAACTAACATTGATCCAGAGACTCCACTTCATCGATACATTGTTCATCACCTGTCAGAGGATGATGTTCACCCTTCAAGACAGGTGCATCAAGACCCCGCAATGCATTCCTCCAGCGTTATCTCAGTGGCAGCTGCTTGGCTTTCTGACGTCAGCTCAAGCCCCAACTACCAGAGGGTAGCTTCAACTTCAGCCGTGCTAGACGAGCAGAATGTTGTCCTTCGTGTCGACTCATCATTGTTCCTCGACGCATCCCTCATGGGTCGGGGGGCTCACTTTCTTCATCATCAGCCGGCAGGGCTGTGGTAGTCTGCAGAACGGGACTTGCACATCAATGAACTCAAGTTCTTGGCGGTTCTTCTTGCCATTCGACATTGGGCGACGGAACTTCAGGGGGTCCTCCCTGCTGATTTAGACAGACAACTCCACGGTCGTCTGGTACATCAACCATCTCGGGTCGACAGGTTTGGCAAACCTCCTTCAGCTGGCATTTCGGTTCTTCCATCTAATCGACTCCCTCGGCATCGATGCTAGAGCCAGACTCATTCCCGGAGTCAGGAATGTCATCGCAGATGTGCTGTCCTGCTCCAATCGGCCGTCTCCCACGGAGTGGCAATTGAACCCACAGACCTTTCAGGAACTGGTCTTCCCATTATCAAGGCCCCAAGTCGACCTATTTGCCACATGGTTCAACCATCAGCTCCCAAAGTTCGTCTTTCCGATACCAGACCAACTAGCTAGGAATCTCGACGCTCTGGCAATTTCGTGGGAGGGGCTCAACGCTTACGCCTTCCCCCCTCCGTCTCTTCTACCCAGAGTCATCCAGAAACTCCGGGCGACCAGACAGATTCTACTGCTTTTGGTCACACCTTACTGGCCAGTCAGGAGTTGGTTTGTCAATCTCGCACAGCTCGCAGATCTAAACCCAGTTCTCTTCCCGATCGGGATGACCTACTGTTACACCCCTCACTCAGATCGGCGCCACATATCCCTTCGCACCCTGTTTCTGCACCTTTGGCGTATCTGCAGAAGTCCTTAATTGCCAAGGGGTATTCTTGGAGAGTGGCTATGGCCATCACTTCTGCTCATCGGACTTCCACCCGCTCACTTTATGATGAGAAGTGGAAGTGTTTTGAGGGATTTTTCTTGCTGCTTCTAAAGATCGCCGCCATCTCCACAAACGCGTCTTCATTCTGTTGTCCTCAACATCCAGGGCGGAAGTGTCTTGCACCACATTATCCTTCTGTTGGATGAGAGCCACCATCCTACGGGCTTACACCTTCGCTGGGTTACCGGCCCCGACAGCTTCCAATCCACATGAGACACGGCATTAGCATCTACAATGGCTCTGCATAGTAACCGCTCCCCTCCACGCCATTATGGAAGGATGCTTCTGGCGATTTGACTCGGTCTTCTCCTCCCACTACCTTCAGGACCTCTCAGTCAAGGACGTCCAAGGCCTGTACCAGTTTGGACCACTTGTCCTTGCACAACAGCTGTCTATGGCCCAACAACGCAGATAGGGGATGGTCCCACGCGGTTGCTGTTTCCCTGTACTTTCCTGAATATAAGTCTGAACTTGATGTCTGCCTTATGTTTTGATTGCCTATGGGTTAGAACTACTTCACTTAGTTTTATACTAAGACACGGAAACACTACCGCCTCGGTGGTTGGGCGAATCTGGAGCTCGATTCTGTATCACGATGTGGAAGGGTTCGACATTTCACGTATCCTGACCTCTACTTTTCGAAGCAATTATGTCAGTGAAGTGTGTCACTCCCGATTTTCCAGTGGATTTCGTTGCGTTCCGACTCCAAAGTTGCCAGGCTCATCCTTTGACTAAGCTTATGTAAAGGAGTGAGGGTCAATTTGACATTGACTGGAACTGAACGTTAAAACTGCGTGTTTTCCGAGTTGTGTTTCTCTTTCACCCGCCCCTTATCGGTGTCTGCGGGGGTGTTCTCGAAGCAGGGGCTGGCCCGATGATTGTCTATGACTTTCATTTACGGGGGTACCTTGAAAATCGTTGGGAAGTGACATCCTTTCTCGCTCAGCTGCGTCCTTCTCCGGAGGTTGCGGCCAAACACCACATCGCTCGGGAGCACCCATCTCCCTGGGAGACGTTGTGCTTAGTAAGCCAAGGAGTTCAGAGGAACTCGTCACAAGCATAGGAGTTGCGCTAGTCGTAACAGGCCTCACTTGTGCATCGCTATCTATGGTTGTTTCCAGTCTACACAGTTCTACTGTTCGCACTGACAAGACATAGGGTATCTGCGTCCCGCCGTCCGACCGTGGGATAAGTGCATACCGTGAGAAAATTTAAATATGAATTGTATATTTATGTACTTATCCTATCTCACGCGATGGATTCCCGCCCATCCTCCCCGCTACACAGATTCTCCAAGATTGATATTCCAGTGGCTTGAAGAATGAGAATGATGATTCGGAGATAGTCACGCGGGTAGCTAGTGGTGCATGCCGCATGCTTTGCATGACAACTAGGAAGCTGTCTTGTAGTGAGGGTAGCATGGAGTGCTTGGGTGGATGGACAAGAGAGGCCAAGGGAAAAACGTTTACATCGTTCCACTCAGTGTCGAATCAAGAGCGAGAAGTGCATACTGTGAGATAGGATAAGTATATAAATATACAATTTATATTTAAAATTTCCAATATTGTTAATGATTTATAAAAATGCAATCTTTTGATCTGAATTAGATGTTTACAGATGAATATTTTCTGGTCTGATTGAGTTAAGGAGCAAGGTATAACACTGTTGATAATTAATATATATATAATTGATATCTAAGTTACATAAAATATCAGCTCAACGTGGGAGTGAAACCATAATTGATGCAGTCTTTAGACATTTTCCACTTTGAGGAATTACATTTGTATAGTCAAAATGCATAATCTGATACTCTAATTTACACAACTGCATCACAGGCCTGAGTTAGTTTGATTCCCCATGACCATAGGTTTCAGGCATGCCCAGGGGACACAACTCTGTACATGAAATTGTGGCCACATGGGTGTAATATGTGGAGCCATGTATGGTGTCCACACTAATATAGCTGAAATAGTACTTAAGGCTTCATAAAACCTATCCGATTAATCTTTCACTACAGAAGCAGAGGGTTGTTTGCCTTTTTGTCCTGTTGGTTTGTTGCTAACGACAGTTTTAAGACACGGACATGTTTTGTAAATTATTCACATGTTTAAAGACATAATGTAATGATCCTCTATCACTTGTCTTTCATTCAAATCGTTCAATGTTCCATATCAGGCCAAACAGCGCTGTGAAGTTCTTGAGGACCAACTTGTGGACCTAGTTGTCGTGGCGATGGAGAGATCCGAATCTGAGGGTGTCAACGACGATGCTGGGTTGAGTCAGTTACTGTGGCAACACCTGTCTAGTCAGTTGATATACTTTGTGTTGTTCCAGTTTGCAAGCTTTCCTCACATGGTCATGTCCTTGTATGAAAAGGTATGTATATCGTACATTGTTTCTTATATTTATTGCAGTTCCCCTCTATCTTTGATCCCATGACACAGAATCCTATATGTGCCTCTATTCCAGGGGAGGGCCCTCTCCATGACACTGGGTCACAGATCAGAGTTACCTACCCTTACTTTCCTTAACACCAATGCAAGTGTTTCTGAAGTTGATTTCTTTATCCTTTAACATCAGACCATAAGTTAGTTATTGATGTATAATATTTCTATGGTGTGTCCAGTGTCAGGTATGACCGAGTCAAAACATTGCCTAACTGTCCTATACCTCCTGTTCAAGCTAAAAGGAAAGAACCTGAAGAAGGGGCGAGACCACCTGATGTGGGTTCTGTTGCAGTTTATCTCAGGAAGCATACAGAAGAACCCTGTAAGTTCAATAGTCAGAAAATGTCATGCTGTACTTAGTGCTGTGGTTAAACCCATCATTCTAGGTTTAGTGCTGTATGGTATACACAGTGCTGTGGTATAAATCCATCATTCTAGGTTTAGTGCTGTATGGTGTACACAGTGCCGTGGTATAAATCCATCATTCTAGGTTTAGTGCTCTATGGTGTACACAGTGCTGTGGTATAATCCATCATTCTAGGTTTAGTGCTGTATGGTGTACACAGTGCCGTGGTATAAATCCATCATTCTAGGTTTAGTGCTCTATGGTGTACACAGTGCTGTGGTATAATCCATCATTCTAGGTTTAGTGCTCTATGGTGTACACAGTGCTGTGGTATAATCCATCATTCTAGGTTTAGTGCTCTATGGTGTACACAGTGCTGTGGTATAAATCCATCATTCTAGGTTTAGTGCTCTATGGTGTACACAGTGCTGTGGTATAATCCATCATTCTAGGTTTAGTGCTCTATGGTGTACACAGTGCTGTGGTATAAATCAATCATTCTAGGTTTAGTGCTCTATGGTGTACACAGTGCTGTGGTATAATCCATCATTCTAGGTTTAGTGCTCTATGGTGTACACAGTGCTGTGGTATAATCCATCATTCTAGGTTTAGTGCTCTATGGTGTACACAGTGCTGTGGTATAATCCATCATTCTAGGTTTAGTGCTCTATGGTGTACACAGTGCTGTGGTATAATCCATCATTCTAGGTTTAGTGCTCTATGGTGTACACAGTGCTGTGGTATAAATCCATCATTCTAGGTTTAGTGCTCTATGGTGTACACAGTGCTGTGGTATAATCCATCATTCTAGGTTTAGTGCTCTATGGTGTACACAGTGCTGTGGTATAATCCATCATTCTAGGTTTAGTGCTCTATGGTGTACACAGTGCTGTGGTATAATCCATCATTCTAGGTTTAGTGCTCTATGGTGTACACAGTGCTGTGGTATAATCCATCATTCTAGGTTTAGTGCTCTATGGTGTACACAGTGCTGTGGTATAAATCCATCATTCTAGGTTTAGTGCTCTATGGTGTACACAGTGCTGTGGTATAATCCATCATTCTAGGTTTAGTGCTCTATGGTGTACACAGTGCTGTGGTATAATCCATCATTCTAGGTTTAGTGCTCTATGGTGTACACAGTGCTGTGGTATAATCCATCATTCTAGGTTTAGTGCTCTATGGTGTACACAGTGCTGTGGTATAATCCATCATTCTAGGTTTAGTGCTCTATGGTGTACACAGTGCTGTGGTATAATCCATCATTCTAGGTTTAGTGCTCTATGGTGTACACAGTGCCGTGGTATAAACCCATCATTCTAGGTTTAGTGCTCTATGGTGTACACAGTGCTGTGGTATAATCCATCATTCTAGGTTTAGTGCTCTATGGTGTACACAGTGCCGTGGTATAAACCCATCATTCTAGGTTTAGTGCTCTATGGTGTACACAGTGCTGTGGTATAATCCATCATTCTAGGTTTAGTGCTCTATGGTGTACACAGTGCCGTGGTATAAACCCATCATTCTAGGTTTAGTGCTCTATGGTGTACACAGTGCTGTGGTATAATCCATCATTCTAGGTTTAGTGCTCTATGGTGTACACAGTGTGCCGTGGTATAAACCCATCATTCTAGGTTTAGTGCTCTATGGTGTACACAGTGCCGTGGTATAAACCCATCATTCTAGGTTTAGTGCTCTATGGTGTACACAGTGCCGTGGTATAAACCCATCATTCTAGGTTTAGTGCTCTATGGTGTACACAGTGCCGTGGTATAAACCCATCATTCTAGGTTTAGTGCTCTATGGTGTACACAGTGCTGTGGTATAATCCATCATTCTAGGTTTAGTGCTCTATGGTGTACACAGTGCCGTGGTATAAACCCATCATTCTAGGTTTAGTGCTCTATGGTGTACACAGTGCTGTGGTATAATCCATCATTCTAGGTTTAGTGCTCTATGGTGTACACAGTGCCGTGGTATAAACCCATCATTCTAGGTTTAGTGCTCTATGGTGTACACAGTGCCGTGGTATAAACCCATCATTCTAGGTTTAGTGCTCTATGGTGTACACAGTGCCGTGGTATAAATCCATCATTCTAGGTGTTTTCTTCATATATACTGTGTTGTGGGTTTAAAGCCAGAATTCTCAGTGTTACAGCATTCTAAGGTATGCCTTCATGTCCACAAATATTGCAGATGGCATGTAGATGATAAGAGTTACACATATGCTGGAGTTGGCATGTAGATAAGGATTATGTATATGTTGCAGAGTGTTTCCAGCAGGGGTCTGGTGAGCATCGGAAGGAAACAATCACACAATTAATGTTGAAATTAGTTATGTTTATGTTCTACTGGTTCAAACTGTTAGATTATCATTTTGTTTGATTTTTCCAAGATGGGAAAGAAATCTCAAGGAATGAGAATATCTTTCGATTATTTTGTTGTTGTTTTAACATGAGAATTCTTTTTTATATATTCCTCCTTGGGGTACTTATAAGCATTTAAATGTCCATTTAAATTCCCTACGACAGTTGTAACAATATTTGAATAAAAATATTTACAAAACAAAATATACGTTTTGTCTTGTGAGACCACCCTTACAGGGCCCTCCGGACCCCTACAGCCAAGAGCAGGTAACTCTAGACCGTAACCTCGTACCTCACTTTCCATGCTGTCGTTTCCCGACAAGACGTGGGTCCATTACAAGAAAGTTTTCTTTTCCCGGCGAGAATTATGAGTGGGTCAGAAACAGCAACTGTATGTATGGTTCTCTTTTTTACCTGCATGGGCGATTTGAAGGCTTGTTCTGAACTTTTTCATTCATAATTTTTTAGTTGTAACTTGGTACCTGTCGCGGTCGGCTCGCCGGGTGCGTGCCAAGATGGCGGCCAGGTCCCTTCGCTAGCATCACTGTTCATTGGTTTCCCGTGTGGTTTTTCAATGTTACAGGTGGTTTTAGTAATTTTTTACTTATATGTGGTTACATGTAGGGCGTTTCCACTGCTTGCATTTTCTATCTTACGATAATAAGTCGTAGTTATGTCAGTGCGTATTATGGTTATTGTCAACTGTATGCTACGTTGACGCATTAGTTGTGTCGCCCATGCGTGTTTTTTCATATATGTATGTGTGTATGGGGTTGATTGCTGCACAGGTTGTTTACTTGTTGCAGTTTAAATCCTGTACTTCGTGCCTCGCTGCCATTCCCGTCAGGGACACACACGAGGTGTGCTTACGTTGCCTCACCCAAACTGAGCATGAGCAAGAGGGGTGTGTGGCATGTGCCACTTTCACGCCTCAAACTATTAGAACACGACGAGTGGATCAGCTGTTCTACAGCAACCTGATTCGGGCGGGGGGTGATATCTGGGCGCAGGATCCCCCGTCCAAGCGTTCACACAAAAAAAGGGGTCTACGGGAGCCGCTTCCCATACGGAGCCGGCTCCCAAAAGAGCTAAAGGTTCCAAGGAGGCATCTAATACCAAACCTCAACCTGATCCTGTCTCTACCCCCCCCCCCCTGTTGTGTCGGCACCAGTTGTGCCTGTTGAATCACTAACCACTTTATTCCAGGAACAGATGGCGTCAGTGAAATCGTTGCCTCTGGCGCCTCTTGACCTTTATGGTCTTTCGGGTTCAGCCTCTGGTGTATCCTCGGCGGTCTCTCAGGAGTATGAGAGTACGGCTGCCGAGGATTATGCCGAGGTGGACATGGAGGACGATGGAGGGAGGGAGGAGTCGGAGGCGGGAGTGCCGTACTCCTTTGGCTCGTCTCTGAGGCAGGTGCGGGAAAAAATTGCCGAAGCCCTGCCCCAGGTGGCCGTTCCCACACAGGCGCCCAACCCCGCGGAGTTTCGGCTCCCGGGGTAGGCTTCAGCGCTATCAAGGTCGCCGAGCGCCTCGCGATTCTACCATCACTGGTAGGTGAGGTGGTAAATCCTCTCTTGACTGGTTCTCGCTCAAGATTTGATCTGCCCGACGTTGGCAAGAGGTACCAGTTGGGAGAGGAGGCGCTATTCGAGCCGCCAGTGGTGGACGAGTGTGTCTTTGCGTCCGTTACTTTGGGGGGATCGTCCTCGTCTTCCCTGGCCTCGGCCAGGCAGGGCAGGCGCCTCCCCCCTTTTCCTACTAATTCCCTTACGCTGAAGTCTGCTTACCGGTCCTTCGAGGAGTGCTACCGGTGCGCAGCCCAGCAATTAAAGGTGGCGGTCCACTCAGCCTACCTGTCTGCTCTGCAGGGGCAGCTGGTGGACCAGAGCGCTTGTGACGCCGACTTGTCGGCACCAGTGCTCGCGCGGCAGCTCACGGGGGTACACTCACATCTGGCTCAGGATAACATTCGGTGCTGTGCCAGTCAGATGATGGGTGCCGTGATGGGCCTGCGCCGCCTGTGGTTGTCTGTGGAAGTCAGCCTACACATCAATGTGTTAGAACTGAGAGCAGTCCGCAGGTGGTTCGAGTGCTTCCGGGTGTTGGTGCAGGGCCGTGTGGTTCGTCTAGAAATGGACAATCAAACGGCCATGTCTTACATTCTCAAGCAAGGCGGCACAGTGTCTCCGTCGCTCCTTCAGGAGGCGTGGCAGTTTCTACTGTGGTGCGATCAGTTCAGCATTTGGGTTTTGCCTGTTTATCTCCCGGGGGAAGACAACGTCCGTGCAGATGCACTCTCACGGCGTATACTAGCCCCACACGAGTGGATGCTCGACCGGGAGATATTCGGGATTATCTCCCAGTTGTTCGGGTCGTTCCAGGTGGATCTGTTTGCGTCTGGGGTGACGAACCAGATTCCTGTGTTTTGCTCCCGGATTCCGGATCCGGGAGCGTTAGTCAATGACGCCTTTCAGCTCGATTGGACGGACAGGGTACTGTGGGCTACTTGTGCTTCTGGCACCCGCTTGGCTACTTCGCTTCTGGCACCCGCTTGGTCGGCACGCTGGTTTCCGTAATTCTCAGGTTTCTGGCTCAGCCTCCTGTTCTATTACCTTTTCGACCAGACCTCCTATCCCAGAACGGAGCTTCCCCAAATCCCAGGATTCAGTGGGTGGCTTGGCCGCTGTCAGGGGATCGCCTCGTCGCGGCGGAATTCCTGCACCAGTTGCAGACACAATTCTGGCTTCGCGGAGGGATTCGACAAACGTTCAATATGAGGATAGATGGGCCTGTTATTCGCGCTGGTGTGTCAACAGGGGGATTTTTTATCCCTTTTCTACAGATTTAGTCTGTGTTTTAGAATTCCTCCAGTCTCGGTTGGACGCCGGTCTAGCGGCTTCAACTGTTCGAGGATATTCTACAGCTATTTCTGCGTTTCATATTCCTGTTGACGGTGCTCTCTTGGGGCAGCACCCTCTTGTACAGCGCTTTTTAGCAGGCGTGGACAGAATCCGTCCGGTTGTCCGGCGGATTAGTCCCCTGTGGGACTTGTCAATCGTTCTTGATTGGCTGTCCGGTCCACTGTTTCACAATCTGTCGGCTCTTTCACTCCAGCTGTTGACGTGGAAGACGGCGCGCTTGTGGCGGTGACTTCAGGCAGGCAGGTTGGCGATATTCACGCAATGTCGGCCGATCCCGCGCTTACTGTTTTTCACAAAGACAGAGTTAGCATACGGCTGCCTGATACTTACCGTCCTAAGAAGGATAGTCCCTTCCATGTGACGGCGCCTATTGAGCTCCCAGCTTTCACTCAGCCTTCCTGTCCGGTACCTCTCTACGGCGTGCTCACGTCTTAGATGTCCGTGAAGACACTTAAGGCTTATATCAAACAAACAAGGGTACCCTTAAGGGTAACCAATTGTTTTGTTGTTATGGCGGGGTTCAGGCTGGTCTTCCCGCCACCAAGCAAACCATTTCTCGGTGGCTTGTCTCTGCCATACATATGAGCTATACTCAAACAGGGCGTATCCCGCCTGTAGGGTTGAAAGCTCATTCTGTTAGGGCAGTTGCTACATCGAAAGCTTACGCTGCAGCCCTGCCCATTGAGGAGATCTGCTCCCCGGCTATTTGGAGCCGTCCGAGTACGTTCATCCGTCATTACCAACTTGACAGACTCTCCAGTGAGCGTGCTCGGTTCGGTCAGTCAGTTCTCTCCAGTGGGCATGGTTCCACCTATCTAGCCGATTGAGCTTTCGAGGAATTATGTGAACCATTCTATGCCAAATTTTTTAACACTGGTGTTGGGTTTTAAAAATCTTGTTTACATATTCCCTTGGTGACGGGTTTTATGTCTTTTGCATTCTGCTCTAGACTTTACTGGCCTTGGAAACTTTGCTAAATATATACATATTAAGGCATTTCGTTTCTGGCGGCTTATTGCGGGACCCTTATCTTCGCTTCCAAGTAGATTACGGGAAGGAGGGAGGGTGTGTCTCGTTAGTTTGCTTTAGCGAGGTTTCGCTGGGCAATTTACGTATGTTCGACCCTGACCCTGGCTCATGCCCCCGCCTGATTGGCTATGGTGGACACGTGACCGGGTAAGTGTGCTTTTTCTGCTATAATTAGCTTGGGAAATTCCACTTCTTGTCGGGGGTGTTTTCTGCAGACAGAATGCCGCTCCTTAGCTCCGTCTTTAGGAGTCTGTCTTATGCTTATAAGTACCCCAAGGAGGAATATATAAAAAAGAATCGAACTAACCTGTAGAGGTTTCAGATTCTTTGAATATATTCCTCCTTGGGGTACGCCCCCCCCCTCCCCACATTCTGTCTGATGTCGTTCAGCATGGAAAGTTAGGTACGAGGTTACGGTCTAGAGTTACCTGCTCTTGGCTGTAGGGGGCCGGAGGGCCCTGTAAGGGTGGTAAACGTAGTTTTTGTTTTGTAAATATTTTTATTCAAATATTGTTACAACTGTCGTAGGGAATTTAAATGGACATTTAAATGCTTATAAGTACCCCAAGGAGGAATATATTCAAAGAATCTGAAACCTCTACAGGTTAGTTCGACTTTATTTCATGCATGAAGGGCTTGCTATAGTCAGAATGATTTTTTCTGATCATTCTTAATTAACATTCTAACATTGTTTTGCTTTCTTTCAGTATTTCAAATATTCAAATGAGTTTTAAGAGTATTTATAGGCGATTTATCTAGATGTGCAGTTCCCAGTTTTGAATGAGATGAACCTTTTAGATATAACTGATAACTAATTTTATGGCCTCACAGAGGTGACCTGTATTTTACTGATAACAGGACCCATGAAGAGTTTTCCTGCTTTATGTTATCACATTGCGATGCACTGTTAATACCTCTGATTATAAGACAATAGGAAGTTTAAAAATTAGTAATTTGTCCCCATTTGCACCCAGGGGCACTTAGAAGCCCTGATGTATCCATGAAGTGTGATATGCCTGTATTTGTTCCCACCTGTGTAGCTGGCTGACTTTCTCCCAGTGATGAAGCTGTATGACCTGCTGTACTCAGATGACCAGCTGATCCCCATGCCCGATGTGACCAAGCCCCGGTCAACGCATGCCCTAGCCAGCACCTGCATATGGATACACCTCAACAAGAAGGCTGAGAGTGACAAGCAGAGGCTGCAGAGGCCCATACCGTATGGCCTGAGAACACATCTTGAGTAAGTTAACACCGTATGGCCTGAGAACACATCTTGAGTAAGTTAACACCGTATGGCCTGAGAACCCATCTTGAGTAAGTTAACACTGTATGGCCTGAGAACCCATCTTGAGTAAGTTAACACCGTATGGCCTGAGAACACATCTTGAGTAAGTTAACACCGTATGGCCTGAGAACACATCTTGAGTAAGTTAACACTGTATGGCCTGAGAACACATCTTGAGTAAGTTAACACCGTATGGCCTGAGAACCCATCTTGAGTAAGTTAACACCGTATGGCCTGAGAACCCATCTTGAGTAAGTTAATACCGTATGGCCTGAGAACACATCTTGAGTCACTGTGGCCTGAGAACCCATCTTGAGTAAGTTAACACCGTATGGCCTGAGAACCCATCTTGAGTAAGTTAATACCGTATGGCCTGAGAACACATCTTGAGTAAGTTACACCGTATGGCCTGAGAACACATCTTGAGTAAGTTCACACCGTATGGCCTGAGAACACATCTTGAGTAAGTTAATACCGTATGGCCTGAGAACACATCTTGAGTCAGTTACACCGTATGGCCTGAGAACACATCTTGAGTAAGTTCACACCGTATGGCCTGAGAACACATCTTGAGTAAGTTAATACCGTATGGCCTGAGAACACATCTTGAGTAAGTTAACACCGTATGGCCTGAGAACCCATCTTGAGTAAGTTAACACCGTATGGCCTGAGAACACATCTTGAGTAAGTTAACACCGTATGGCCTGAGAACACATCTTGAGTAAGTTAATACCGTATGGCCTGAGAACACATCTTGAGTAAGATAATACCGTATGGCCTGAGAACACATCTTGAGTAAGTTAACACCGTATGGCCTGAGAACACATCTTGAGTAAGTTAACACCGTATGGCTTGAGAAGACATCTTGAGTAAGTTAACACCGTATGAGCTGGGAACACATCTTGAGTAAGTTTACACCATATGAGCTGGGAACACATCTCGAATAAATTGACCCCGTGAAGATCCAGGTTAGAATTGATGTTCAGTAACCCATGCTTGTCGTAAGAGGCGACTAAGGGGATCATGTGGTCAGGCTCGCTGACTTGGTTGACACGTGTCATTGTATCCCAATTGCATAGATCGATGCTCATGCTGTTGATCACTGGATTGTCTGGTCCTGACTTGATTATTTATGGACCGCTGTCATATAGCTGGAATATTGCTGAGTGTGGCGTAAAACTAAACTCACTGACTCACTCACTTGAGTAAGTCATGTCAACACCTTACAATCTGATAACACATCTTGAGTAAGTCATACTGACACCTTATGGTATGAAAACACATTTTGAGTAAGGCATACTGACACCCCATGGCCTGAGAACACCTCTTGAGTAAGGCATACTGACACCCCATGGCCTGAGAACACATCTTGAGTGAGGCGTACTGACACCCCATGGCCTGAGAACACATCTTGAGTAAGGCATACTGACACCCCATGGCCTGAGAACACATCTTGAGTGAGGCGTACTGACACGCTAAGGTATGAGAACACTTCCTGAGTAAGTCATGCCAACACTTTATGATTTGACAACACCTCTGGAGTAGGTTAATACAGAACACAGTAAGTCATGCCAATGACTTACGGTCTGAGGACATGTCTTGAGTAAGCCATGCCTATATTTATGATATTAGCAGCTTTCAGAAAATAATGTTAATTTCAAAACTTAGTCATGTCTGTGTAAACTCATGTTTTGTTTTCCAGGTTCTTGAAACAGACTTTCAACAATAACAATAATCTTACGCTGAGTGACTACAAAATAGCCCTCCTGTGCAATGCTTGTAAGTACATAACATGTTTACGTATGCATGAATTATACAGTCGTATAGTTGTAGCATTACAAGTATTTATTGTAAGATCCTCAAAAGTGATGTTCCTTGTATTAACTATTAGGATAACAAGTCATTCACATCAGCAAAACAAGAACACAGGCAATGTACTCAGCAAGTTCATAAGCTGCCTAATATGTCCAGGGTTGCACAAATCTCAAACTGAAAGGGAATGCCATCTTCTACGCCAGTATTTCAAAACCATTTCCAGTGTTTGCCCTAGGCATAAAAATTTAGGAGTCATCATGACTCCCTGGTGTCATGAGAGGGAGTCATGGACATGGTTTTGGCAGTCAACTTCAGTTTGGAACTTTCATCTAGACATCAACTTGGTAAGACAAAAAACAAGGTAAGGCAGGTCAGGTATTTAATCAGCACTGAGCAGTCAAAAAACCAGTCATCGCACAGAAACTGAAGTTTAGATTATCTGAAATAAGGGCCCAGTAACATTACGTCAACAATGACGCAAGCTTCTAACTTCACTGCGTTTTTGAGATAATTTGTGCATCAAATATGCAGGTTTTCTACGTCATGGCAAACACTGCATTCCCATGTTCATGGGCTTCACATCATGGTAAATGTTCGCATCACTCATTAAGCTGGCACACAGAGATAGCGATATAACTGAAATGCAGTTCAAGCTGCATTAAGCCCAACTGTAAGACCTTATTTGCAGTCAAGAACTTGTTTAAGTACCGCGTCTCCTCCTCCTTGCAGACAGCACTAACACAGAGTTCTTCAGTCTCCCCATGGGCAAGCTGTTGGAGAGTGTGTATGGGAACAACAAGAACACTACACTGTTGCCTGGCAACATCGTGGCATCCGCGCCAACGCAGCCCTTGTCCATGAGTCTGCTTGACTCACTCACTGTACATGCCAAGATGAGGTGAGTTCCACCACTGTGTCAACACTTTCACTCCAAAGGGAGACCAGAAATGGTGTTCATTTTCTGTCAATGCATCTCTACAGCCAGTCTAGCTTATGGTCAGTTAACTCCCTTTGCTATAATATTCAAGTTTAATATTTTTCCTTATCCTGACTCATGCTCTTTTGCTTGTCTTCTTCTTCTTGCGAACATAGTGGAACACTTGTATCTCCTTATTTGAAGCTCCCTTCAAAATAAAATCACTAATTGGTACTCACCACGAGTTGCTCCCCTTTGTCTCCCCTGGCGGGAAAGGTGTCGCCACCCTCTGGCCATGTGCTCCACTCTCTCCTTCTTCGCCCAGTGAGCAGGATGTGAGAGCGCCTTGTGTCTCCTTACACACCATATCCTTTGATAATCTCTTAGTTTTTACCTCTCATAGGTTACTATAGAGGTATAGCTAGTATCCTTTACTATTTGTATTGATTAATTATCGTGATTTCTACTGTTTATTCACGTGTATTCGTGATTGTTCAGCTAGCTTTACGTTGATGAAAATCTGTACGATTTGTAGATTACGCTTTTTCTGCCTCCGATCCACATGTAATATGCCCTAGTTGTTCTACTGCGCGCGCTTAATTCACGCTGCAGTTACTGCATTAATTTATCTCATTCTGCATTTAATAAATATCATCTTTGCGTCTTTAAGACGTGCTGCAGATAGATCACGCAAACAAGGGCAAAACATGGCAGAGAGTCCAGATATTCCATCCAGTCAGCTGCTAGCGATCGACCCTCTCCGCCTGGTGTTCTGCTAGAGACCCCTGCGGCAGAGGAACGGGGACGCAGTCCGTTACCTCGAAGAAACGACCGCCTCCCCAGACATCCCGTCATTGCAGACTAAGTCTAAGAGGGCCTCATCGCCGCCTCAACGCAGATTGAGGACACCCAGGGCAGCGCCAGACTTCCAAGGGAAATCTCCACGAAGACAGCAAGAACTTTCTCAGCCGAGATCGTTCCAGCAGCAGAGTTGGGCCTCTACGATGATCAGCCGATAATCATCCCCGACTTCACGGCAGAAGAAGCTGACCGGTGTCAGCGACTGTGACTTCTGCAGAGATCACCATGCAGCCTGATGCTTCTACACCGGCGCCAGACGTCATTGATGTGAACCCCATCGCAGAAAAAGACGCCGACGACTTCGTCACAGATCATCCCAGAAGACATGATGCGGCAGATTATGAACATCATGGAGGACCACTACAAACTGCGCAAGCAGGGTCCGAGCCTTCGCGAAGGCTCCAACGTAGACAGCACCCCAGAGGCACCCCCCGTCAACGTAGCAGCCAAGACGATGTCACCTTTGCGCGAAGGAAGTCCCGCACTTCACCTTGACGAAGGACCTAGATGTACAGCCTTCGCGAAGGCCTTCGCGAAGGCGGGAGAGATCATCACCATCTTCGATTTCATCTCTAGATATGGACTCAGACCATCAGACATCACGGAAGCCTTCGCGAAGGTCATATCATCGATCCCCCGGACCGGACGCAAATGAAGCTTCGCGAAGGCATTCGCGAAGGACATATGATTCCAGATCTTCATCGTCTAGAAGAACATCGAGGGACTGCCGAAGAGCTTCGCGAAGCTATCAACATTCACCTCACAAGTCTCCGAGAAGATCATCCCATAGACGATCTCCACTTCGCTTCATCACCAGGTCGATCACCCGTCCAGATCTCCACATAGAGCGCGCACAAGTCAACTAGATCGCCACAAACCTCATCAGATATACAGACAGCTACACGCAGTCCCGGCAGCATCTACAATTTGTTAATGATGATGGTTTTGAGGATGATGGAGGAATCATATTTTCTGATGCAGAGATACGGGTATTGGATGGTCAATAACCTAGATCTCACATCACCATCTAAAAGTGGCAATACAGCTCAGGACGTATTTGATGAAGGAAGATGATCCAGATGCAATCACTCTACCCCGATCGACCGATTAAGGCAGTGCCACAGAATCTAGATGCAGCTTTCCAGAAAGCTACTAAAAAGTTCAGATACCACATCTGCCCAACTTTCAAGCCAAGAAGTTCTCCACGCATAACATGGACTCCTTCTACAAGGCCCAGGACATCGATGAGAACTATAAGATCATCAGCGATGTAAAGAACAAGATTTACAAGATGGATGATCGCAAGTTGGCTCATATAGAAACCATGACGAGACGTGATGTTCTTTGGGTTAAATAGATCTAGGACGATCAATGAGACTCTTATTACTAGATTCCGGGATTCCACGACGGAAGATGATAGAATGATTTATTCTGCCTTACTTATGCAAAAGAAAGATCAGCAGTTTTAACGGATCATCTTACATCTGTTTCAGCAGCATTGACCTTAGCTCGTCGTCAAGGCCTCCTCGCCTGTAATTGGGGAGAACTTTACAGCCCCACTTTATACAGCCCCGTGGTCGACAACATCCATCTTTGACGGAGAAATCGACAAAGTCGCCAAGGAAGTCTCTAAGGATTCCAGGGAAGTCCTTATGATTAGATCGATGGACACACTAGCCAGCGCCATTCGCCAGACTTCACAAAGATACTCAGGCAGATCTAAGTTCACGGGCCTACAAAGAGCAAGAGACAGGAAGATAGCCAGCTCTAGAGGTAAAGATTCTTTTCGTCAAGCCCATATGGCAACTATAGAGGAGGATCAGGAAGAGGCAGGACACCCAGAGGTTCCCCGCACTTATAGACGCTGAAACACAGGTTCGAACGACTGGAGTCTTCCACCCCCAGCCGCTTCCAGTACAGCCAGCTCAAGTGGGTGGACGCCTCCACTACACTGGGAAAACTGGGGAATATTGCAAGACCCTTACGCTTCCAACATTCTTCAACACGGATTTCAGATCCCTCTACAGGCCAAGCCTCCGCTGACAATCAAACCCCCAAGTTCGATTTACAAGCAACAACTACCAAAGATAAGAGAGGCTGTTTCATCACTCCTATCCAAACAGGCCATAGAAGTAATAGATCAAGCAAACGTCGAACCAGGTTTCTACTCCCCCAGTTTTCCTAGTTCCCAAGAAAACTCCACGGAGAAATACAGACTCATCTACAACATGAGCTTTTTCAACAAGAACTATCTACGAAACCACCGGGTTTCGCATGATACATTTACCTCAGTTACGCCAGATGATTCGTCCTATGGACTACATGGGCAGCATAGATCTACAGGATGCCTACCTGCACATCCCCATTCATCCCGATTCCAGGAAATACCTACGATTTACTCTAGAAGGGCTACATTACCAGTGGAAAGTACTCCCATTCGGAATATCATCAGCCCCCTGGCTATTCACGAGGATAACGAAACCGATTATCAAATTTCTACATCGTCAAGGGCTACGCAGTGCGCTTTACTCCTCGACGGGGATACAAGTAGATCAAGATCCACTGCGCTCAAACTACAGTTAAATTACATCATAAAGCTACTAACACAACTAGGTTGGTTAGTAAACTTACGCAAGTCGGACCTAGTACCATCGCAAAGACCTGCAGTTCCTAGGTATTCGATTCATCACAAATCGCAACCGTATTATGGTACCAGAAGACCGTTGGCTCAAGATACAACAGACCATTCCACCAGCTCTACTCTCTCAGTTACCACTGCGACAATGGCAGAGCCTACTAGGTCTTCTCACATCAGCCCAAGACATGACTGTCACAGGCAGATTACAGTTACGCCCCTACAGGTCCTCATCAACGACATCTCAACGATGTACAACCATTCAGTCTACCGAAACATCTCAGACCACATCTACTATGGTGGACCAAGAAATCGAATGTCTGCGAAGGGATTTGTTTAGCAGAGCAGGAATACAAAACCCATCTGTATGTAGACGCCGTCACTCCAAGGTTGGGGAGCTCATCTCACCAACCACACGATATCAGGGTTATGGAATCAGCAAGAATGCAAACTCCATATAAACAGTCTAGAAATGAAAGCTGTAATCAACGCTTATTCTATATTGGAGCACATTTCTACAAAATGCGGCCTAATGATCCATACAGACAATTCGACAGTGGCGTTCTACATAAACAAGCAAGGCTCAACGAGATCGATGAACCTTTTGAACCTAAGCTTTCAACTGTTCGATTTAATACAAGATCTAAATCTACATGTCAGAGCAGTGCACATTCCCGGAGCCAGAAATATACTAGCAGACGCCTCTCTCGCCTCATCTACCATCACCGACAGAGTGGATGATCAACAGGGGAATTTTGCACAGATAATCAAGCAATTAGGGCCCGCTAATAGACCTATTCGCCACGCCGATTCAACAATCAGCTACCGACATTCGTGTCACCAGTCCCAGACCCCAAGCTTGGGCAACGGACGCTCTAAGTCTATCATGGGAAGGCCTCAATGCGACGGCGTTTCCGCGCCAGCAATAATACCTCAAGTATTACAGAAAATCAGACAAACACAGAGCCTACAACTCACTTTGGTGCGCCCTACTGGTCGGCCAGAACGTGGTTTCCCATACTAATTCAAGAAATCGGTCAACCAACACTGGAGCTACCCAAGCGCGCCAAACCTGTTAATTCATCCTCACACCAAACAAGTGCACGGAAACCCAGCAATGTTCCAACTACACGTATGGACTGTATACAAATGTGTTTAAACAAGAGAGATATTCTGCCAGGGCGGCAAAAGCAGTCACGCTTGCCTTACGTTACTCAACTCGTAACTTGTACGACGACAAGTGGCACAGTTTCGAAAATTATGCAACAAAGAAAGGGTTTACAGCAAGAGAGGCTTCACAACCTCAAGTGGCAGACTATTTGTGTTACCTACGCCAAAACAAACATTTAAAAGGTTCAACGATATCAACATATCTTGCCGCGCTTAGTTCTGTAATCACCATGAGAACGGGTGTCAAATTGACAAGATCTCCAGAGTTACTGGCCTTACTACGAGCTTTCCGATTGGAGGACTGTGACGAAACCCT